AATCTGGATTATTTCGTGAGAGAAAGAAGAAATGGACAAAACTGACTTTTTGGGGTAAATAAATGGCAGATTTGCAAAAGTGTACATGAATGTGGCACGCTTGCAAACTTATCATTAAACTGTGGCATTTTGTAATTGTCCCTTAATAAAAAGAAGCATACCATGAAAAAAAAGATGATGTGATATCATTAAAGAATAAATTTAGGACTTTAGGGCTGGTTGGAGAAATTTAGAATTTAAAAAACGTTTTTTAAAATATTTTCATATTTTTTAAAGCCAATTTGTCAATTTAACAATCACCCTCTAATGTAATTGAAACAATTTATGTTGGACAAAATAACGTTCCTAATCAAAACTCTCGAAACAAAACTTTACTCTACCACAAATTGTAAATCCATAAAAACAAGGTCACTTCACTAATGAATTGGTGTGAAAGATAAAAAATCACAGAAAAACGATAAATAGAGTGAGACAAAAAATACAATCAATGCAAACATCAATTATTTTCTTCTTATGATTCAAGGTTCTAATGAAATAATCAAAAAATGCATTCCAAAATCTTTGTTGAGATGATGTAGATGTCTCGGTAGAAGTAAAGCATATTACAACTTGTTTGATGAATAAAATTTTACAGACGTATTTGATGCAAAAGAAAAAGACGACCAATCATTTTTTTAGGAAACCATAGTGAATATTGATTCAGACATACAAGTTAACGACTTGTGCCATAAAAGATGTTTGAGAAATTCTCACAAATACCATTAAATGGAGTTTTGTTTTCAAAAATACCACCATTTTTCAAAAATTTCACAAATACCACAATTTTTCAAATGATACACAAATACCCAAAACTAAAATTAATTTTTAACATTCAAAAATAAACCCTAACCCAAATTCTGTCCCCTAAAAAACTATACCCTAATTCTACAATAATTAACCCAAAACCAAAAATTTAAACTATAAAGTATTGAAAATCAATTTTGTGTTTGTGGTATTTGTGGACATTTGAAAAATGGTGGTATTAGTAGAATATTAGAAAAACGGTTGTACTTTTGAAAACAAAATTTTAAAGTGTGGTATCCTAGGAAATTCTTTCAAGATGTTTTCCATATGCTATAATTTTTATCAATGATTGGTCTATTTTTTCATATATAGCATTGTATATATCTAACAATTTGCTATAAATACTTAGTCTTCTAGTTTAGATCATTTTTTACTATAAAAATCAAATTTATATAATATTAAATACAAAAATTTATATAATGTTAGAAATTGTTAATATTAATTTTTATCATGTTAATTTCTAAATTACGTGGATAATTTCTAGTGAAATAAAACGTTAGGATTTTAGGAGAAGAGTGAGTTCTCTTCCGAGTTCTTTAGCCTCTATTTGT